AGAGAGTAATTGAAAACCAATTCTATCTGAAGTTCCCTGTAAGAGAAAAGTCATTATACGGACCTCTCCGGCAGCCTGTGTCTGCTACCGTTCACCCATTCCAGCGCTGCAGACTCCGTAAGACTCTGACATTTAACATTTTTTGGGTGTCAAATGCCTATGTCCGGCAAAACAAATGGCAAACGCACTCATCAACTTATAACCAGCTTTAAAGCAAGGTGCACATGGAAGGGCTTTATATAGTACAACAGCAAAAAGTTTTCCAGCACACTCACCAGCCAGCATGCAAAAAAAACTTGTCTAACCGCTAAGGTTAAAAACCGCCTCGCCAAGGCGCCTCTGTGCCTGTGTCCCCCACCATGTACTGTGCCTCCTTCCTCTGATCCCTATGTCACTTTACAGTGCAGAGCAGTTAGGAAGAGGTGAGTGTAACGGCTCTTCTCTTGCAGGGCACTTCAGGTTTAAAGTGATATTAAAGTCAAAATGTTTTTTAAGCTTTTTCAAATGCTTTTGAAATCACTTAAAATGGATGCTGCTCCTTGATGTTTAAAAGTTTTATTTTCCTCCAAAATCACCTGGTCCCCTGAGCACTTGGCCCTGATATCCTGTGATACGGTGGCACCTTTTTCTTGCAGGGTCGTATGGAGCCACCCTTGTGTAACATACAGGCACAGCAAGGCCAGACACTCCCTGCTCTTCCCTTCTTCAGGCTAATTGATGGGCAAGTGCTGTCCCTTGTGACCTTGTACTGGACAGGAAGATCAGGAAAGCAAAGCTGAGAGAGTTGGAGCTGTTTGGAAACATGATGACTGTAGGTGTTTGGGCGAAAATATAAAGAAATCATTTGCTGGGCGATGTGTATTTGTTTGATCTGGATTCATTATTGAAAAAAGAAGTTTGAGAGTTTGAGTTTATCACTACTTTTAAGTGTCTTTATCCAATGGAAGAAAGCTGTAAGGTGACCCCGGGGCACTGCGTACGGATACAGTCTTTAGAATTATTCACAATGTCCACAACAAATGTGTTATTACCTTATAAATATATAGAATTATTTTTTAAATTTTGACAGCGACAGCTTGTTATGGGAGAAGGACGAATTCACTTTTATAAGGCCGGTCCAGCCAAGGCAGATGTTTCCAATATCTCAAATCTCTTGTAGCTATGAGAACTTCTACATCAATATTTGGGAATGTAACTTTTATTTATATAAATAATGATTACTATTTTAAGATGACCGACCATATATGGAACCTATCATTTTTTATTTTATCTTAATAAATGATGACTACTCGTTTGAGTTGACGGTCCATAAATTGAACTGATCACTTATATTGGGATGCATATAAGCGGTTCCGGGACAAGGTCCTCTGGCACTCAATGAGCCAATGCCAAAATGCACCCTCCCAACCCATCACCGCCACCTCGCACGCTCTCCCAAGCAAAAAAACTAAAGTTTTTAGTCCCCAGAGTTCAGTTTTAAAATACTTGCCGGTGATCCTGCCATGAAGGTATTTGTTAGGCCACCTCCTGTCATCGGGTGACAACTTGTATTCAGAGAGAGTTTTCGTTTCTCAGAAATATATGCGGAAAATCAGATTTTGTAAGCCATCCTGTAAGCTTAACGTTTCTTCCTCCATTTTGTTCCATTCAGTCCGCCTCAGACCTTGCCTGTAGCCCCACCATCATAAACTCGGAGAGATAACTCTAAGCAGGTCCCCTCAGCACTTACAGGATTAGCCAAATCTTCTCTGGATCTAAAAGCTCATCCATTTCCCTTTTATTGTGATCTCCGTGGTGGCAATGAATCAAAGCCACCACATGAGCTGACAATCTAATGTGCCGGCTGCTGCAGGGCTCAGCCAGATAAAAATGACTGGAGGGGAGGGGGGGTCACACAAAGTTGAGTTTCAAAATCTCCTTTCTAAATCCTGGAGCCGAGGGAGCGTTTGATTTCGTTGAACTTTGGCCCCATGCACGTAGAGCAAAGAGGGGGGAAGAGAGGAAGGGGGCTTACTGACAAGTCTGAAGCTAAGAATTGCTTGACGTGTGGGTGATGGAAACACACATAGCCCAAAGCCAGGGATTTGTGTGATGAAACACTTGGGATTTATTAAAGGAGGACTCCAAGCAGATAGGAAAAATATTTAACTTAACCGTGGGTTTAACCTCGCAGGAGAGTAAGAAGACTTGGTTGGCCGAAAAGGGGTTCAACAAGAATTCAGCAATTCGCTATTATCAAAATATTGTAGGTAGTATGATTATTTGGAGACAACCTCAGCTATGGTTTCATGGTTTCACTGCATAGTGAAGAGGCCCAGACGTGACTAGGCCAACCCATCCTACATCTTACACCAAGATACAGTTATTCCTGAAGTGTTAAGCATCATCTGACACCATGAAAGTAGGACATAGAGGCATGGACAAAGTCCAAAGTGTTTCCCCCATCCTGGGTAACTATAGGAACAGTTGGCCAAATCTTCTTTATAGGACCTCATGGCCAACCCTGTGAATAATAATGCGATACTCAAGCAGGAACTACTACAAATGTATCTTTTTATACCATAAAAATAAATGTTACAATTACTAAGAACAAGTAAAAGTATATCAAGGAAACATGATTCAGAGCATAAAAGGGTCAGTTCTAAAGGCCAAGACTGGATATATACATATATATTTTCTTTATTCAAAATATAATAGATTCCCCCATCAAAAGCTTACGAGTGTTGATTGAGGAATCCCCCACTGTTTCTGTTGTATTATGACAGTGGCCACCAGTAGCTTTTAGAATATTTTAGATTGTAAGCCCTCACAGGCAGGGCCCTCCTTACCATCTTGTCTTTGATTGTATTGTGATTGTAATGTCTTTCTTATATTGTAAAGCACTGCGCAATATATATAAATCCTGTATAATAATAATAATAATACCCGAACAGCAGACTGGCTGCCAGATCCGTTCGGCCGAGATCTTTCCAACCTGTTACTTTGATCAGCTGATCGAGGGATGTCGGCCAGAAAGGTGCCAACAGTGGTTCATCAGCATCCGGCCAAAACTCAATGCATGTGTACCCAGCTTTAGTTTACCTTTTATACAACGTTTCATGTTACACCCATATTCAGAGTGTAACATGGTCACATCGCCTACCCCCCATCCTCTCAGCCATACTTACCTGAATCATGGGGTTCGTTTCTCCTCAGACTGCTCCTCTTTTTTTATAATGGTGCTGCTATGCATGGCTTCGTCCACACAGACACGACATCCATTCACAGCTCCATTAACAGGATCTCTAAATGGAGAAATTACAATTCCAGTTATTTGTAGTTCTCAACGGAATACAAGTGCAGTGACATGAGCACACTTGTAGTTCATTCATTCGTCCTCCTGTCCGTGTTACTTAATGTCCGTACCTGGGTATAGATAGGAATGAGAGGGAAAATCTGCAGAAACCGGAGTATTGCACCTTCAGTCCACTGATCGCAGTTGAAATGCTTTACTGGTTCCAATGCAAAAAAATATATAAATGCATATTTTTCTTTTATTAATATGTGTCTATATATTATTGTTTATTATTATTATTATTTATTATTATTGTTGTTGTTTTTTTTAACAAGGTAGACTTTCCCTTTAAAACGGGCCCCTCCACCTTAGTAGAGGTAACATTTATACCATTTTGTGTTGTAGATCACCATATATTTATCCAGCTTGCATCTTTGAATTGTGGATATTAAATATATGGTGATCTGCAGTCTGAATGATACCATTAAAAAAATCAACATTTCTATTAGAAACATCATATAAACATATATTTGTCAAAATAATATAACAACAATAAGAAAAGAAAAACAGTTGAAAAAACAGAGATGATTTGGATTAACGTTTAGAAAATACATGATGGACATTAAGGAAGATTGCTATATTGACTGGATTGTATTTAAAGAATATCAATATATTCATAGTTATCATTCTGGATAGAGTAGAAAAGGTTCAAATGTTGAGTGTTAAATGTTGAATGTGGAAAACTCCTGTCGGGTTTTTTTCTTTTCCCCTTTTTGTCCTGTTAAGGAGATTTCTGTTGACTTCCTGTCCTATAGCTACAACAGGAAATAATAGGCAATCTGTCCAAAGTGAAACAGATGTCCCCATTGGAAGAACTACCCTCTATCCCTGTTCTGGTGACAAGTCTATAGGCTCAGTTGGCTTGAGTTTGCACTGGGAGCACTGGCAGATTTAATTTATGTTGCACATTGAGAAAATCCCCTGATGAAGCCATGCAAATGGTGAAACATGTTGGATGTGGGTTGTAGGGATTTTGAATATTAGTTGGAAGGAATTAGCGAGAACACTGGATTAAATATTTGAGCAGGAATGATAAATAATAGAAGTTAGGAAATGGAAGTCTGAAACAAAGAATGTAGGAAGCAGACAATTAACAAACAGAGATCACAAAGTCCCTCCAAATGGAGATTAGTGCATGTGAGATATTATGAAAGGGGATATTTAAACATGTTTTGAATGGGATGGAATAAAAGTTATATGGGGGCATGGGGGAGGAAGGGAGGGAGGGGGAAAGAGAGGGAGAGGGGATCGGGGGT